GCATGAGAAGAGATGAGGATTTAAAAAGGAAGAGCAGCAAAGAGAAGGGAAACAACCATGGATTACAGTAAGGCACACATTACAGTATTGGTTTATGTTAAAAAATCTGAGGGTTTAATGTCACTTTAAATATATAATTCTGGCCAGAGTTGAGCTTTAACCTGATATGCAGTACTTCAGAGAAATAAAAAATTACAGCGATACTGAAGCATACATTTACCAGCATCAATATATGCTAGGAGATCTCAGCCATCTGTTATACTGATGTAAAGTCAGGACATACTTCTGCCATGTTTTTCACAAACATGTGGAAATGACTTGTAAGTAGAAAACTACAGCCTGGAATATGTAAAATAAACATCCTGTTGCTGAAGCAGAAGTTTGGCAACAAAGGGAAACACTTCACCTTCTCAAGATATGACCCCTTCATTCATAGCATAGACACTAAAGTAATCATTTCCTTCCTATAGACAACAGAATGCCTGCTCATCTTCACATTTAAGAAGATGGCTAAATGCACTGGTGTGCACAAAGCCTAACAATAAAGGGCACCACAAGCGCAACATACATTTTATGCACGCTATACAAGTGTGAATGGGGGCTTGTATGCATTTAGAAACATCCTATAAAACAATATTTGTCAATGCCAGGGTGAATAGGGTGTAAACGATCTAGACCACAGAACAGTTACTACGAAAGTATGGATCCCAATAATCGTAGCAACTGTACAACAGCTATAGCTGGCCCCATCTACAGCATTACACTGAATGTGTGCTGCATATACAATTCAGACTCACCACACACACATTGTACAATCTTCTTTAGATCTACCAACAACTATGTAGTGCATGGGCCAATCTGACTGGATACACATTTATTGTCTAGATCAGGGCTCAAAATTTCAAGTCCTGAGCTACTAGCCAGGCCTTAAAAGTTACTCGCCACCTAACCCTGCCCCGGCCTTAACTCCGCCAGGTCAGCCGTGTGACGCACAATACAGAAGTGCAAAGGTCAGAGCGACGCACTGCGCAGGGGTCAGAGCGACGCGCAGGGGTCAGAGCGACGCGCAGATCGGGGCAGGATGGGGCCTCGTACGAAAATCATACGACTGTTCGATCATCGGACGAAAAGTTTCGTCCGATAATCGTAAGGTGTATGGGCACCTTAATAGTAGTGCACGTTATGTCCTGCAGCCCAGACACAAAGCCATGGGAAAAACAATCACTGAGCTCTAAATAATCAGTTGTAGTAGTAGTAGAAGTACTAGTAGTGCACATTATATCCTGCAATCCAGACACAAAGCCGTGGGAAAAATCACTGAGCTCCAACTAACCAGTAGTAGTACTAGTAATAGTAGTGCACATTATAAATCACTGCCTTCTAAATAATCAGTAATAGCACTAGTAATAGTAGAAGCCAGTAGTAGTGCACACTACATCCTGCAATTTAGACACAAAGTAATGGGAAATCACTGAGCTCTAAATAATCAGTTGTTGTAGTAGTAGAAGTACTAGTAGTAGTAGTGCACATTATTTCCTGCAATCCAGACACAAAGCCGTGGGAAAATCACTGAGCTCCAACTAACCAGTAGTAGTACTAGTAATAGTAGTGCACATTATAAATCACTGCCTTCTAAATAATCAGTAATAGCACTAGTAATAGTAGAAGCCAGTAGTAGTGCACACTACATCCTACAATTTAGACACAAAGCCATGGGAAATAACTGAGCTCTAAATCAGTACTACTAGTAATAATAGAAGCCAGTAGTAGTGCACATTACATCCTTCAATTTAGGCACAAAGTAATGGGAAATCACTGAGCCCTAAATAATCAGTACTAGTAATAGTAGAACCCATAGTAGGGCACATTACATCCTGCAATTCATACACAAAGCCATGGGAAATCACTGAGCGCTAAATAACCAGTAGTAGTAATAGTAGAAGCCAGTAGTAGTGCACATTACATCCTGCAGCCCTGACACAAAGTGAAGAAGTTACAAGATCTGTGTACGCATAACACATATAACTTTGTTAAACTTGTGCTCCCAGCACAGCAGGCTGACGACTCCCTTGTTTCCCACAGTGCTGCCCAGGAAGCCCCCTTGTACATCCTTAGTACAGGATGATCATCAGCAGTGAAGAGTGGAAATCCTCCATCCTGGCACACAGACATCTCCTTCCCCGGGACTGACAACTCACCAGAACTCATGTTCCTTCTTCCATGAAACTTGACTTTTAATCCATGCTAATGTGCCATGCAATGCATGAGTCCTGCGGGTGTAGGGATACGATGTGCCCCAGCACTGTCCGTACAAGAAGCTGCCTGCTGGAGACCTAGGAGCCCTTCCCACAAGGGTAAAGGGGGAGTGTCGGCGTGACGTCACTGGCAGACAGCTCCACAGGAACAATGAATGCACACTGCTAGAATCTGGAGTTGTGCTAGTAGCAAGGTTTTATGATTAAACAGACAGTACATCCTGTTTATTTACTGCAAGCATCTGAAGACTCATTGGAGTGTAGTCACTACTGCAGTTTCTGGAGCTTTCATGTCATGGGTAGTAACTACTAACCCTGCATCTGCCGCTCCAGCATGTGGCTCATCATTCCCTGCGGGCTCCTCCACCGTCATTGTCTCAGATCTTTAACCTCTTGCCATCCTTTTGTTGCTTTTCACTTAAACCCTTTTCATGGCAGCTGTCACGGTAGAAATATGAGGGTTTCTATAGGTGGCCTCCTCCTTACCATGCTAGTTGTCTGCCTTTAGTACTTTAAAGTTGGCTATACAACAGCAGAACTTCATTCATAAAAATCCATTTTCAGAATGCTGGTTAGATTTTCTAATAGATAATGAGGTCAAATCGACAGTCAGTTTGCACCATAGTAGCAACAAAAAAAGCAGGATGGAAAGTTTTTCTCAAATGAACCAAACGCTAACAGTGAAACTCCATTCATTCCAAAATCAAGTGTTAAAGCCCAACTGGACTGGAGAAGTATTCCTTTTCCATCCTTCCCCCCCTCTAACCCATCCTGCTGGGCTTTTGGTTCCCCCTTACCTTGTGAAGTCAGATATACTCACCTAAGTTCCCCTTCTAGGTCCCTCACCCCTGCCATTTCCGGGTGGTGGGACTGTGAATCTGACCACACCTGAGCTCGCCAGTCCCCTTCTGGACCCTGACCAATGGACATCCAATAGGAAGTGTCCATGTCATGTGGACAGTGACATGGACACTCAAAGGAAGATCCAAGTAGGAAGTGAACAGAAGAGGAGGAGAGTGTGGGCTGTGGTGTCATGTGATCGCAGTTAGCGGTAAGTAAAAAAGAGCTTTTAGATGGGGAGGGGTTGATATTTATCGTGGAGTTGGGCTTTAAAATGAATTTGAAATCACATTCTATAAGTCTCTGAAGGCATTAGCGTGTGTTCCGACAAGATTTTTTTGTTTGAACATTCATTATTATTATTAATATACAGGATTTATATAGCGCCAACAGTTGGCGCAGCGCTTTATAATATAAGGAAGACATTACAGTTACAATACAATTCAAGACAAGATGTTAAGGAGGGCCCTGCCCCTGAGGGCTTACAATCTAATAGATCCGAAAATCTACCTGTGTATGGCCAACTTAAAGCACTGGGAAATTGTATTATTAACCATTGTAGTGGGGCTGACCCCACACTGCAAGGGTTAACTGATCGTTTTGGTCTAGGGAGGAAAATAAGAAAGTTACATTCAATTCTCTAAGCCAGTAAGACTGTGACATCGCTCCCTCCAGCCTGTCTCATTCTCCACTACAGCGATGGTATGTCCCTCGGCATCCTCACGTCCTATACGCGGCGTATATGATGACTCACACGACCTTAGACTGCTGCAGCAGAGGGGGAGAGATGCCCCAGGGACTGGTCTAACAGCAAGCAGGCCCTGAGCATCAGATAATTATATCTTTATTTTCTTCTCTAGACTAAAATGGGGTAGCCCCACTGCAAGGGTTAATAAAAAATATCCCTAAAGGTCTTCTTTATGGCTGGCCTTCCACTGTTAGAACTGTGACCGATTCACAGGCATTGGCTGCCAGAATACAATGGCCCAGCAGGGGGGATTGCTCCATCCATGCTGTTTAGCATAAATGGAGGAATCTGTTAGATTTCTTTCATTCAGCCTGTCCATAGTGTATGGCCAGGTTTAGCGGGTCTCTATCAGCATGCCCGAACAGAGCCAGCAACTCATTGGCTGCCGGCTCTGTTCATTCGAAGATTTTGTGACCCGCCCCTTCGATCAGCCAAGTTTCAGGTCAGCTGAAACCCAGACACAGCACATGCAGGACTCAAAACCCGGACTGGCCAGGTGAATTCGGGACAGGTGGCAACCCTAGGCACCCACTGTGCAGATTTCGGCTGGTTCATAAGCCAAAGCATCAACAAGACAGGCAAGGAACTGGCAGTTGCATCCCACATATGTTTCCGGACTGGCAGATGTCTCAGTGAGAGCAAGTAGCGAGACATCTGCCCATCATCTGTCTGTAGGCATGCCTTGTCACAATCCTCTTCTCAATTCATGACACGTCTTGGGAATACAGCACCATGAAACACTTGTTCACTTTCCTTTAAAGAAAAGTGACCAATGTATCCCAGCCAACAGACGATTTTTACAAGGTGGAAAATCTCCTCTTGTTATATTTCCAATAGTCAGTGGAACTCAATGTGCCCCTAATGAGCAGGATCCATTCGTTTAGCACAATCAACGCAAAGTGTAGTTCCCCAATGACATGGGAGTGTGTCCCGCTGGGAGGTGCGTTGAGGAGTCATTGAGAAACATTGGCAACACGTGGCATCAGCGCACCTAGTATGCAGTATAGCACGCTGTGTGTATAGCATTATTTTGTGAACACACTAAATATACCTTTCTGAGCATGTTTCATGTTACACCCATATTGAGGGTAAAACATGAAACATGGTTTCATGAAAAACAGAAGTTCAGATACACGTCTTCTGCAGAAAATTTGAAAGCCGCACAGCTGCGCCAAGGCACCTCTATATAGTGCCGTATATAAACCTCTGTTTTTAACCTTAGCGGTGAGACAAATTTTTTTGCATGCTGGCTGGTGAGTGTGCCGGGATACTTTTTGCTATTACTTTTTAAAGCCCTTCCATGTGCACCTTGCTGTAAAGCTGGTAACAAATTGATGAGTGCGTTTGCCATTTGTTTTGCTTGACTGATTTGGTGCAGTGACGCATGGGGGGTCTCAGTTGCCGTTGTGATGTGCGGGGTCCTTTGTGCATCCCTGTGCCTTTAAGGGAGGTTGGGCTTCCTCCTGACAAACCTGCACCCAGTTTGATCTTTTGCCACATGTGCTCCAAGATGGAGACTCTCATAGTTTGGACTTAGGACATCACTATATAGAGGTGCCTTGGCGCGGCTTTCACATTTTCTGCAAAAGACGTGTATCTAAACCTCTGTTTTTAACCTTAGCAGTGAGACAAATTTTTTTGCATGCTGGCTGGTGAGTGTGCTGGGATACTTGAGGTTACACACATCAGTCCCTCCCTCATGCCAGGGTGTTAATTGAAATCCTGAACTATGACCTGTCCTTCAACACTACATAAAATCTTGCCTCCTTCAACTCTGTAACATTTCTAAAATACACCCCTTCTTAACCAATGAAACCACCAAGCTACTTATTCACTCTCTTGCCTCGACTACTGCAACTCCCTCCTCCTTGACCTACCTCTGCATAGGCTAACCCCCTTCAGTCTATCATGAATGCAACTGTCAGACTCATCCACCTTACCAACCACTCAGGCCTGACACCCCTCTCTGCCAATACTTCCACTGGCTTCAGTTCACCCATCAAAAGAGAAAATACTTACAACAAAGTCATCTGCAAATCTGTCCCTCAAGCTACAGTACATCACCAGCCTCATCTCAAAATATCACCCAAACAATCTCTTCACTCCTCCCAAGGCCTCCTGCTCTCTCGCCAACTCCAGGACTTCTCTAGAGTCTCTCCCATCCTCTGGAAACCCCTACCCCAATCTGTCCACTTATCTCCTACTTTGCCTGCCTTTGGGTGACCACTGAAAAACTCAACTGTTCAGGGAAGTCTATCCCACCTCTACCTAACCACTGAACTTTTACTTTCTCCATCAACGTATCCCCGCACAGCTATCACCTTTTGATATCACTTGTCCTCCTTTTTAGATTGTAAGCTCTCCCGGCTCAGCAGGGCTCTCCTAACCCTCGTGTCTTGAACTGTAATTGTCTCTTTATTTGGTAAAGCGCTGTGCAGACAATATTGCACCCGCAAGCAGACGAAATTCCTCCAAAAATAACTAATTATTGCATAAGCATCAACACAGTAGGCAACCACTAGCGTGTTTCTGCCTGAAACGGCTTTAGTCATAGTCACAGAAGCATGTTCCTTAGCACAAACATACACTTTGCTATCCGATTGCAATACCATGCACATTAAAACAGCTTAAAAAGACCATAAGCGGCCTTTCAATGTCCAGAATTAATTGTATTCTGAATTTAGTCTGTTTAAAAAAATCAAGGGGCAAATATTTCCTGAGAAAAGCTCTTGGAAGCCAGAGGTTAGCCTAGGAAATGACACCTACACTGATGAATAATGCTAAGAGCTCCTTTACTCCATACAACTAACTGCGAGCATAATGCTCGTTCACAGTACAGACAGCCCTGTACTTCTGTCCTACTCCCAACACTGCCCTCATTGGAGAGTCTTCTCCCGCTGTTCACGGCCTGGACACCGTGGCCGAGGTGACATCTGGGAGATGTAGTCTGCTTCCTTTGTCACGCTCAGCGGAGCTACTGGTGACGTCACTCGCTGAAGACTCAATTTCCCAGAGTGCCGCTGAGGGTGGCATGGCGGACAGCAATGACTGCGGAGTTTGATGAAGAAGTGGTGTTTGAGGTTGGTGACAATAGCTGTCTTGCTCCGCTTATTTCCCATGCGAGGCTGCATTGTGCCTGGCACCCTCTGAGTAGGGCAGTCAGCTGATATCATGCAAGGATGACAGGCTGCTGGTGTAATTATTATCCTCATTCTGTGCTGCCGGATGTTCCCTGTATACTGTGTCTTTGCTGATCTACTGTTATAGGGTTACCTGTGATCTACTAGCTGATTCATTCCTTATTACCTGTCAGTGTGGGCTCTTGACTCAGTGCATGACATTGCCCATCTGGCTGTATTGTATGGCGAAAGTAAGTACTGGTGTAGCTGTAGCTACTATATTGCATATGTATGTGTATATTGCTTTTATTTTATTCCATGCTTGCTGAACTTAAAATTTGCATCAATTTCAGTTTTCTGTTTATATCTGGTAAACACAGCGAGGGTGATTTGCTCAAGGAGGTGACAATCGTCACATGATATTGTGTGATTATTACAAATTCCTGATGACTTATCTGCACATGATTGGATAATTGAGGTGACCATTGGGTGAAGATTGTCAGATCGTTTTAATAAAGCAGCTTAAATGATCTTGCTCTCTCCCGGTACACATACAATAACCTGCACCTGTGCATATAATGTGAGATATAGATATTACTTCTCTGTTCTGTAAAATGGCTTCTAGTATAGTTTATTATTATTATACAGGATTTATATAGTGGCAACAGTTTGCGCAGTGCTTTACAATATAAGGAAGACATTACAATTGCAAGACAAGACGGTAGGAAGGGCCCTGCCCGTGAGGGCTTACAGTACAATCCAGTATAGAATATGGTTTTCCTGTACAGCATGCCACTTTATGCTTTGTTCTACAATTCCCTTCTTATCAATTCTGCATTTGTTACGGCGGCTTCGTGGTGTCTTGCAAAAAATGTCCATTAACACAAGGGATTATGATAATAGGTTTTAGAATTAGATAAAGGATTTTAGTCATAGTCAGAGAAGCATGTTCCTTAAAACATACATACACTTTGCTATCCGATTGCAATAGCATGCACATTAAAGCAGCTTAAAAAGACCACAAGCGGCCTTTCAATGTCCACAACGAATTGTATTCTGAATTTAGTCTGTTTAAAAAAATCAGGAGGCAAATGTTTCCTGAGAAAAGCTCTTTGAAGCCTGTTATGTTTTTTGTTTTACAGTCATTTTGTCAAAGTAAAAAAGTGTTATATCAGAAAGAGAGTAATAGGCTTCCTGTTGTTATTGAAGTACTTATTACCCTGAATAAGTGTTTCTCAATCCGGTCTTGAGCAGTGCATTTTTTGGCTACTGTATGACAGATGTACTGATGGAGTAACTAGCTCCCCAGCAATCCAGTTTAAAGTAGATTTCAAGTCAAAACGTAAAAATAAAAACCTTTTTTTGGATAGACTAGGGAATAGCTAAAAGAGGTCAGCTGAGCTCCATCCTTTCATCTACTTCTGCAGGAGGTACCCATATGCCCAGAGAGCCTGACTCCCATACTGGTAGAGCAGGCTAAAGCTGGGTACACATGCATAGAATGTTCTGCTGAATCAGAAGTGGCCTTATATCCTCCACAAAAGTCGATCATTAGATAAACTTTTGTCGAATGGACATGCTTGCAGCCAAATCGGCAACATGCACTGGCTGGGTATTCTGATAGCGGCGGGTGCCTCTGCCAGGATACAATGTACAGAGCAGGAGATTTGTTCATCCACGCTGTTAGTGTGGTTCGAGGAATCTGTCGTTTTTTTCCTTCAGCCTTCTCCATGTGTACCCAGCTTAAGCCTTCTGATAAATCTCAAGAACGAAGAGATAACCAACTTTGTCCCTTCCTGGAAAGGTTCACAGCATGTCTACCTTTTTAACCCTTCACTATCAGAGAGAGGGTTGCCCTTGGACTCTTCTTTACAGTAGCGTTGGGTATTGGGGGACTCTTCCTTCAAAGGTGTCTTGCCTTCTACTGTCTCTTCTCAGTACACTTCAGTCACCTTTTACTGTTGTAGTTTTGGCTCCAGAGCAGTACTATGTGTCTGTCTCTAAGGACCAAGTGTGTTTACTCCGCTTATCCATCAGGTGGCTGAAAAGGGGTCTTCTATTCGAAAGGATTGCTCCTTCAGGAGAATCGTCATCTCCAGGGGCTGATGTCTGGAACCCCAGAACAGTTGGTTCCTTCTACACTATGATATTCAAATCTGGGTAGGTCTCCTGGGTCTGACTCCATTGATCACCAGTTTGGTACTAATGTGACTTCTGCACAGAATTGGCAGGAGCAGTTTCCAGCTTAATTCCTCTGTCTGTACTAATTCCAGTGGTACCTCTTCGCTCCAGAGAGGATGCATTATCCTCATCCCCAGGTCTTCCTGGTTGTTTCCAGCCCACAAATCTGGGGCTTGGGTCTCAATCCAATTTTCTGCTCATTCTTGTGAGGATGCTTCCCATGCACCCTATGCCTTCAGTCATGTTCAGATCACATTCTTGAGTAATTTGTTGTTTAACTGATTCATGGCTTCCTCTGGTAAGTTTTGATAAGTGAGGTTAGTTTGGCCGGACAGTCTCCTTTGATATCTCTTCCCGTGTCCCTAGGGAGCGTCAGAATGGCACAAAATTCAACCATGAGGGAAAGTCTGCTGCATGTATGTGAGGCCACCTCATGTACATTTGCTTCATATTTGCAGTAGTTTGCCCCTCTCTTCCCCATTAACAGATTGGATAGTCCATCCAAAAGCAGATATTTCAGTCTTTGGTTGATGTTGGAGAGTTAACCCACCTGACAGGCAAAGCTCTGACATGAAAGGGATTTGTTCAAGTAAGCTTTGATAACATTATCAAAAACAACTCTAGTTTGTATTCCTAATACAATGCTGATGTTATAACAGGATAGTATATGCTGGGAGGGACTTAAAGTGACATTAAAGTCAAATAAATGTTTCCCTCCCCCCAATGTTAATTTAAAGCACTTGCCTTAAATTATGTTTCTTAATCCGATCTTCTTTCCTGTCATTTTCATCTGTCCCTCCAGCGCTGTGGCGGGTCTCCGATCCAGCGCTGACTCCTCTGTCCTTGCTGCCACTTCCTGTCCCACGGTGTCTGCATGCGTCCTTGTGTCTCTCCTCGTCTCCCGGCCGAAAATGTGAACTGCGCATGCGCCCGCCCCAAGATGCTTTGCGGCCGCCCGAGCAGTTTCACATTTTTGGACGGGAGCGCGCTTGTAAGTTTAAAGCGTTTTGTTTTTACACTTTTTGCTTATATCTATTGCTTGCTAGCCGTAGATATATGCAAAAACACCGGAGGGTTCAATAACCCTTTAACTTCTTTAACTCTCATCCCTGGACGCACTGAAATGGAAAGCCGGTCATTTTGTCACCATCTGTAGAATGGGAGCAGATTAATTGAAATATGAACATAAATGCATATTTTTCTTTCTCGCTCTGAAGTAACATGGCTGAATGAAAATAAGCGTGTGACACAAAGCAGGGAGGTAAACATAGCCTGCAGAGCTAGACTAGTAGGCCATTTCGGATGAGTGGAAATGTGCATAGTAGATTCTCTACAGTGTAAAGGTAGATATTTAGACAGCTGCTCAGAGGTCTAGGCAAATCAGCATCGGCAAAGCATTCCATTTCCTCCTGTATTTTATAAACAGGATTCAGCCCACTGCGCCTGCTCGATGAATGCTGCACCTTTTGTAGTCTGGCCAAATAACTCCACACGGATTTCTTCCATTCCTGTTTTTGCTGTAACTTGACTTTAGATGCAAGAAGTAGAACAATACACTGACTTGTTATATAAGATGGACGTCCATTGCTCTCATTAACTACAGGGTAAATTTGATCTCGTAGGTAGGCACCTTTTTAGCATGATGCCTTGTGACTTCTGGCTTTGCATCTTAAAGTTGAAGTGTTTTTTGTTCTAAATATAGATTCAAGCAGGACTCACTGCTGCACGGGGTTCCCTAAAGTGATATTAGATTCAGTGTTTAAAGCCTTTTCATGACATCACTTACAATGGATGCTGCTCCTTGATGTTTAAAAGTTTTAGTTTCCTGCAGAATTAGCTGGTCCCCCCTGAGCACTGGTCCTGATATCCTGTTTAAGGGTGGATCCTTTCCCTTGCATGCTCATATGGAGCTATGCTTGTGGGTGCCAGCAAGCTGTGTATGTCTTCACAAACACAGGCACAGTAGGGCCAGGTACTCCCCTGCTCCCTTCTAATTTCACCCTTCTCCATTATAGTAGATGGCCAGCTGCTGGGAACTGTGCTCTCCTTGTGATCTTTTACTGGAAAGGAAGTTCAGAGATGCTGAGCAGAGAGAGTGGGAGTCATCTGTTTGGAAACATGATGACTGTAAATGTTTGGGCAAACATGTAAAGAAATGCTTTGCTAGGGCAGTGTATAGTTGTTTGATCTGGATACATTATTAAAAAAGTTTGAGAGTATAATACTTCTTCAAAACCTAATTGCATCATTAAAATACCTGAAGCCTATATGGGTTTATGAATGGATACCCGTACAAAAACAAGATGTCTGACGTAACCTGTGTGACCAGTACACTCTAGTGTACCCTGGCTCCATAAAGGAATTTATAAAGTTTTCCTACATATTCAGGGGTGCGGAATCTGTATCGCCTGACGCCCGGGACATGCCGTTCTGGGCGGGTAGTTTTTTCCCCCTACATTTATCCCTGCTGTGGGCTAGCTAAGCTAGAGAAGCCTTTACTGCGCCAATGCCACAAAAAAGCTCGGTTACAATATGCCTGACAACACCTTGACACGCCTCACAGTTTCTGGCACACTGTAATTTGGAGTGACAAGACCAAAATAGACCTTTTATGGTCACAACCATAAGTACTATGTGTGGACAGGGGTCAACAAGGCCTATAGCAACAAGAATACCCCCCCCCCACACACACACACACACACACACTGTGCAGCATGGGGGTGGCTCACTGATGTTTTGGGGGGGACGGCATGAAGATACTGGCAGACAATTTGCATTCT